CACTTTAATCTAGCTTGCGCTCACTGTTGTACACTGGAAGCAGTTTCGGGCGGCTGATGTATGAGGTCGGCTTTGCGCATGCGCCGCTCAGAAGTGACGAATGCGGAAACGCAGCGGAGAGATCAAAACAAAACAACAGTCACTAATTAGAAGTACAAAACGAGGATTTGTAAAGAAGAATGTCAGAGGATTTTGATACAAGCCAAGAGGAGACTGGTTTTACACTTTCTGGTTTTCTACACTGACAAGTTTTCTCATAGGGAAGTGAGGTGCAGTGATACACCAAGACAAGATACTAACAAAAAAAATCTAAGTTTGTCAATTAACTATACTTAACTGACTTGAAGCAACTAGCACATTGACAATAACCTTTTGTTCCCATTTCAGTTTATATAGACCTATTTCTTCTATTAGGCCTTCAGAATGTCATCGCAGGTTACTTGTTTAAACTTATCAACAAAGCTAAAGACAAAAGCGCAGATTTAAAGGATGAGATGGAAGTGGTATACCCCAAAATCAATATAGACCATCGCAAGCTTAAAGAAGACGCACCTCGGATATCCCACAGAATAACCCAGGAAGAACCACCACTTAAAAGACCACACACAGAAATGGTGAGTCAAATTGGACCATGCTCTTCACCCACACCTTTAGACCTCACCATCTCACAAGAAAACCTGCCTTCAACATCACCTTCACCCTCACCAATTGACTTATCAGTTGAACCAATCCTACAGATTGGCCCTGGGAAGGAGCTGGAGAGTGAGGTGCACTCAAGTCAGGTAAGGCTTCCATCTGCTTATATTATATATATATATATATATTCCATCAGAATATTTTGTATTAATGTTTTTTCCCCCCAATGTATGTCAAGTTTATAAATGCATATCTGTCACTGAAGGTGAGGCAGCACAATTTGACCTCACCAGGCAAAGCATTTCATTTGGACACTTTTGCCATAACAGCCTTGTGGAATGGAAAATCTAAAAGGCTCAAGGTGTGCTGCATATCTTAATCCTCTGTTGTTTTGCATTTTTTAACTTGTGCTAATATGTTTGTTTTGTGTTGTCAGTACATACTGAAGGCATTAAATGTTTTAGTTGGCAATGTTTGGATCCTAATTGTTTTGTTTTTTAGTTGGACCCAGCAAACTATGAGGTCAAAGTGGGCATTGTAAATGCGTGCCACCACTGGTTCCCTTTCGATTCGTCACTTCTACATTGCTTTGGGAATTCCCCTTTCCTCCAAATACTACTTATTGAATCACGCCAGTGAAACTTGCCAATGGCGTTCAAGCACACGAAATATGAGGGGCTCCCACTCTATAGAAGGCAGCGCTTGTACGTCATCCATTCAGAATCTTTTCCTTCAGCCAACCTTCTATGAGAAGCAAGAAGCCTATAAACAAGACTGTTCCCCGTGATCTACACGCCTTCTCTTCCCCTGCTGTGTTCCGGTGAGCTTCGGACTCGGACAACAAGGATGACACGCGATTGCCTCTCCTGCACAGAGCCAATCGAATCTTCTGACGGCCACGAATCGTGCATCTTCTGCCTGGGTTGCGCCCATGCAGAGGCGGCGCTTGGGGGTTTGGACTGCCCCCACTGCGGAGATATGAGCCTCTGGACTCTCAGGCTCCGTGTGGCCATCGTCCAAGGCGATGAACTCGCCCTGCCGCGCTCTTCCTCGGCAGCCTCTTTCGAGCCAAGGAGGAAAGTGCCACGAGCTTCTAATGCAGCAGGGCTGTACGTTAACTTTTTTTGCACATAGCACTGGTGCTACAGAGGTTGAAAGTTTTGTAGCAC